TTTTTTTCTGTATCTATTAAAATTATAATATGGTTCTTATTCTTTCTCTTGTTGATGTGACATATCATGTTGATTGATTTGTGAATATTGAACCACATTTGCATCCCAGGAACAAATCCCACTTGACCGTGGTGAGTGATTTTTTAAATATATTGTTGGATTTGGTTTGATACTGTTTTGTTGAGGATTTTTGTATCTATATTCATCAGAGATACTGGCCTGAGGTTCTCTTTTTTCAATGTGTCTTTATCTGGTTTTGGAATAAGGATAATGCTGTCCTCATAGAATTAATTTAGAAGCTTTCCTTCCTCTTCTATTTTTTGGAATAACTTGAGAAGAATGGGTATTAAATCTTCTTTGAAAGTTTGCTAGAATTTACCTGTGAAGTTTTCTGTTCCTGGGCTTTGTTTCTTGGGAATTTTTTGATTATTGATTCAATTTCATTGCTGGTAATCAGTCTGTTCAAATTTTCTATTTCTTCCTGATTCAGTTTTGGTAGGTTATATGTTTTCATAATATTCTCTTATAATCTGTTCCATTTCTGTGGTATCTTGTTATTTCGCCTCCCTTTTTTCTGATTTTGTTTGAGTCTTCTCTTTTTTGTGAGTCTAGCTGGAAGTTCTTATCAATTTCATTGATCTTTTCAAAGAAGCAGCTCCTGTTTTCATTGATCTGTTCTATTATTTTTAATTTCTATATTGTTTATTTCTGCTCTGATCTTACTATTTCTTTCTACTGGTTTGGGTTTTCTTTGTTCTTTTTCTAGCTTCTTCAGGTATAAGGTTGGGTCATTTGAGATTTTTGCTTCTTGAGGTAGACCTGTGTGGCTATAGACTTCCCTCTTAGAATACCTTTTGCTGCATCCCAAAGATTTGAAACCCTTGTGTTTCATTTTCATTTCTCTCCATATATCTCTTGATTTCCTCTTTAATTTCTTGGTTGACCCATTCATTGTTTAGTAGTATGTTATTTAACCTTCATGTATGCGTGTTCTTTTTAGATTTTTTTCTTATAGTTGGTTTCTAGTTTCATAGTGTCATGATCAGAAGACACATGGTATGACTGATTTTTTTTTTTAATTTATTGAGGCTTGTTTTGTGACCTAATATGTGACCTATTCCAGAGAATGTTCCTTGTACACTTGAAAAGAATTATGTTCTTTTTATATTATATTCTGCTGAATGTTCTTAGATCCATCTGATCCAATGTATCATTCAAAGCCACGGTGTCCTTGTTGATTCTGTTTAGATGATCTGTGCATTGATGTAAGTGGGATGTTAAAGTCCCCTACCACTATATTACTGTCAGTTACTTTCTTTACATTTGTTATTACCTTTTTCATGTATTTGGGTGCTCCCATGTTGGATGTATAAATATTTACAATTGTTATATCTTCTTGTTGAATCATTCTCTTGAGTATATAGTATCTTTTTTTGTCTCTTGTTACAGTCTTTTAAAGTCTATTTTTTGTGATAAAAGCATTGCTACCATGACTTTCTTTTCACTTCCATTTGCATGAAAAATGCCTTTCCATCCCTTTATGATCAATCTGCAGGTATCTTTAAGTTTAAAGTGTCTCTTGTTGGCAGCTATAGATGGGTCTTGCTTTTTTATCTATTCTGTCACCCTGTGTCTTTTGATTGGAGTGTTTAGTCCATTTATATTCAAAGTAATTTCTGATAGGTATATATTTATTAGCATTTTGTCACTTGCTCTGTGGTTGTTTTGTTAGTTTTTCTCTGTTCTTCTCTTGCTCTCTTGTCTCACAGTTTGCTGGTTTATTTAATGATAGATTTAGATTCCTTTCTCTTTATTCTTTGCATACCTATTATTGGTTTTTTATATATGGTTACCATTAGATTTATATATAACATCTTCTGCATATAAGTTAATGTTTGCTTAAGTTTGAACCCATTCTTTACTCCTCTTCTCCCCACATTTTAGGTATATGATGTCATACCTTACATCCTCTTATTTTGTGAAACCCTTGACTGATTTTTATAGATATTTTACTGCTTTTATGCTTCCTATTTTTCTTACTCCTACATAAAGTCTTTCCTTTCCACTCAAAGAATCTTCTTTAAACTTTCTTGTAAAATTGATTTCGTGGTCATGAATTTCTTTAACTTTTATTTGTCTGGGAAACTCTTCATCTCTCCTTCTATTCTGATTGATAGCCTTGCTGGATAGAGTATTCTTGATGGCAGGGTTTCGGGGGGTTTTGTTTTGTTGTTGTTGTTGTTTTCTTCCAGCACTTTGAAGATATCATCTCACTCTCCTCTGGCCTGCAAAATTTCTGCTGAAAAATCAGCTGATAGCCTTATGGAGTTTCACTTGTATGTAACTGTTTTCTTTTCTCTTACTGCTTTTAAAATTCTCTCATCACTACTTTTTGCCATTTTAATCAGTATGTGTTTTGGTGTGGACCTCCTAGGGTGATTTTGTTGGGAACTTGCTGTACCTCCTGGCTCTGAATGTGTTTCCTTCTCCAGATTCTGGAATTTTTCAGCTATCATTTCTTCAAATAAATTTTCAGCCCCCCTTTCTTTCTCTTGTCCTTCTGGGATCCCTATAAAGTGAATGTTAATGTATCTGATGGTGTCACTGAATTCCTTAAGTCTCTTTCCATTTTTGTTGTTGTTGGTGGTAGTGGTGGTCTCTCTCCTATTCAGCTTAATTCCTTTGCATTACTTTGTCCTCCAGGTCTCTAATCAGTTATTTCACTTACTCTAGTTAACCCTTTATTCTATCTAGTGTATTTTTTAAAAGATTTTATTTATTTGAGAGAGCGAGCATGAACCAGGGGAGGAGCAGAGATAGAATCTCAAGTAGGCTCTACTCTGAGCAGGGAGCTTGAAGTGGGGCTGGCTCTCACCACCCACGAGATCATGACTTGAGCCAAAACCAAGATTATGATGCTTAACCAACTGAGCCACCCAGGTGCCCCTCCATCTAGTGTATTTTTAACTTCAGTTATTGAGTTCTTCAGCTCTGATTTTTTTTTTTTTGTCTTGTTTGCTATCTCTTTGTAAAGGGTCTCACTGAGGTCTTCCACTCTTTTCTCTAGTCTAGTATCTTTATGACCATTACTTTAAATTCCCTACCATGCATATTACTTATCTCCATTTTGCTTAGGTCTGTTGCTATGATTTTGTCCTGTTCTTTCATTTTGAACAATTCCTCTGTCTCCTACATTGTCTAACTCTTTGTGTGTTTATGTGTTACAAAAGTCACCTACATCTCCTGTTTTTGAAAGTAGGAGCTTTATGAAGAAGTCCTATAGTGTCCTGCAGTGTAGTGTCCCCTGTTCACCAGAACCTGGTGCTTCTGGAATCTCTCCTATGTGTGTTGTGTGGCTCTTGCTGTTGTGGCTGAGCCACATTGGCCTTCAGTCATCCCAATGGCTCTCTAACCTGTTGCAGGCAGGGTTTGTTCCCTGTGTTACTAGTGGGCCAGTCTGGAACTGTCTTGGGTTTGAGATGACTCAGTCCAGGTATTTGCCAGAGGTGGAGTAGCACTGAATTGCAGGGCAGTTTCCTTGTGTTGTTCCCTAAGAAGCTTTCATTGGTGGATGGGGCCTATAGCCAGACCAGATGTCTGCTCCCAGGCCACTGCTGGAGCCACAGTCTGACCCATGTGTATGACTATCTCTCCCTCTCCTGGAACAGGATTCACCCTGCAGTGGTGCTGGCCCCTGCCGGGGCTGCTTGCACACTGCCAGGCTTCAGCCAAGTGCATATGGGAGGGGCATGTTCATAGGAGAAGACAAGGGTAGGTGCACTGCCAGCAAGGTCTCCCCCCTTGCACCATGGGAGGGGACCTGCAACCTCTAGGGTGAGGTAGGAGAGGTTGGAGGGGGTGGATCCCCAAAAGTGCATGGGGGCAGGTGAGTGGTGTTAGCAAGCTAGGTGGAGAGTGTTCACAGCACTGGTTCCCAGTGGTGTCAAGGCTAGGGGGCAGGGGAGGAAATGATGCCTGCCTGCTCCTTTGTTTCTGGAGGAGATTCTTATCCCTCCAGTGCCTGTTCAGATATTGATAAACAGCTCTCCCTCCTGCTTGCCCCAGGCATTTTTCAAACTGGTGCTTCTAGCCTGTATCTCCTTGGAGCTGTTTGTTTTGCTTTCTTTTTAAGGGCAAGGACTCCATTTACTCTAGTCCTTCTGGTTCTCCCAGATTGAGCCTGCTGATTTTTGAAGTTCCAGGTGTTAAGCCCCTGATTTTAAGAACTCATGAAATTTAGCCCCTCTCGTTTTTAAAGCCAAATATTGGGGTGTGGGTTCACCTTCCCTGGAGTGTCTGTTTCTTTCTTTTCCCCATGCCTACAGCATCCCTCCCTCGTGTGTACAGTCCTAAGGGTCTGTTTAGCTCCCTACAGTGACTCTGACCTTCCTACACTCTTCAGTATGGCTTTTTCTTTACGTTTAGCTGTGAAGTCTGTTCTGCCAGTCTTCAAATCATGTTCTGGGTTATTTACACTGATGTAGATGTTATCTAAGTTGTATCCATGGGACAAGGTGAGCTTAGGGTCTTCCTACTCTGCCATCTTCCCCAGCTCCTCCCTCTATCCTTTTCTGCTAGTGCTAAACACTAGATTTGTCTGATCTCAAGGTAATGGTTAATATTATTCATGTTTTAGAGGCAAAGACACTGAGGCTCAGGAGGGGAAATGTGATTATAAGCAGGTTGATCTCTTGCTTCTGGTTTCAAATTTGGATCACCACACATCAGGGGTCAGCAAACTATGATCTATGGGCCAAAAGAGTTGGCCACTTGTTTTTGTAAATACAGTCACAATAGCAGAGTTTAGTAGTTACCACAAAGATGATATATTGCAAAGCTTAAGATATATACAACCTGATCTTGACATGGATTATCCAAATATACTTCTAGGTGATATTTTAACTTTTTTTTTTAATAAAACCTTATTGTCCAAAAAGTACTGATGTTTCCATAAAAGTTTCAGTTAAATATTTACTTGCTCAAAATGTCTTTCTCCTTAGAGATGAAAATAAACTAAAAACTTGGAAACCCAAGTTTTTGATGGCAAAGGAAAAGAGAGAGAGAAAAGGTCCTGAAGAATCAGAAAGGTAGGAGCACAGGTATACTTAGATTACTGCTAATCTGCTGAAATTTATACCTCTCAGAGCTGTGTGACTTTAGGCAAGTCATTAAATTTGTCAAGTTCCTCATCTATAAAATGAGAATAATAGCACCTACAGCACATAGTTGAGAGGGTTAAAAGAGAAAAAAAAATGAAAATGTACAGTGCCACACACATTTCTCTTGTCATCATCCAGACTTTGGTAGATAGGGAGTAAGGAAAGATTTCAAGCCAACCATTATCAAATGATGAAAAAACTTTGTCTTCTTTTAGGCTGTATGAACTTTTCCCCTATAGATGGAACTTAAATAATACACCAATTGGAACTTAAACTTTGAGAAATACGATCATATAACAAGACTAATTTCCCTAAAACACAATTTTAGTTATGACTATATTAGTATTAGAATTTTAAAAAGAATGTTTTATCAACTCATGATCAAACCTTCATTCTTGTGATTCAAGTTTCCAGCTGGCTGTTGCGGGAGGTGCTGTTTTTACTGTCTCAGGTGGTTACTATGTGATCTGTGCTCTGGAGCACAGGGCACAGGATCTGGGATACTTTTAACAGTTGTCTTGGGGAAATCCTTGTTTAAACACCCATTGAACTGGGAACACTGTGTGGTCCGTCTGCTCTGGGAAACCTGTTTAGAAAAGTTGTAAAGGGGAAGCCCAAAAGAAAGCAGACTTCTGTCTATAACATATTTAAACACAGAGGATGGCACAGGATGGCCTTTCCCATAACCTTATTTTCTTTGGGCTTAGACTTGATGTAATTTACTCTCCCCAAGTTCAAAAGATGTAGACTACAAAAGCATCTCTCCACCTTAAACTTCATAATTTTATATAGCATACCAAAACAGAATTTCAAGAGAGAAAATATCCGTGAAATTTTTGACGCTTCTCCACAAAAAAAAAGTTTAGTATTTCAATGTACACATACGTCTTTCAGGAAACAATTTTCTAGTGCTTTTCTTTTCTTTTTTTTTAAGATTTTATTTATTTATTTGACAGAGATCACAAGTAGACAAAGAGGCAGGCAGAGAGAGTGAGAGGAGGAAGCAGGCTCCCCGCAGAGCAGAGAGCCCAATGTGGGGCTCGATCCCAGGACCCTGGGACCATGACCTGAGCCAAAGGCAGAGGCTTAATCCACTGAGCCACCCAGGTGCCCCTAGTGCTTTTTTTCTTATAACAAACTGATATTATAGTTTACTTTTACTTTCAACTGGATTAATTTTAAAATATGGTAAATTTTGAAATGTGATATTGGAGCTATCATATTCCTGTAGATTATCAATTTTGAGTGCTTTTTATTCCTTTTAAAAATTTTTTTTAAGATTTTATTTATTTATTTGATGGAGATCACAAGTAGGCAGAGAGGCAGGCAGAGAAGGGGGGTAAGCAGGCTCCCTGCAGAGCAGAAAGCCCAATGTGGGGCTCAATCCGAGGACCTGGGATCATCACCTGAGCCAAAGGCAGAGGCTTTAACCCACTGAGCTACCCAGGTGCCCCTTAAAATGGTTTCTGCCATAACTTGTTCCACCAGTAAGAAATGCATTCTATGTTAGTTCAACCCTTTTATAATCTTTTTATGAAACAAAAATGACAAATTTTCAGAGAAGTTGGAGAAGGATATCCCAGGTACAAAGGCATAGAAACGATAGCCCACTTTCTAAGATGTTCTAACATAGACGTGTGTGTGTGTGTGTGTGTGTGTGTGAGAGAGAGAGAGAGAGAGAGAGAGAAGCCTGAAAGGTAGATTGGGGCTAGCTTATAAAATGCCGTGTGTACCACGCTAAGGAATTTGACTTTATCTTGTGGGCACTAGAGACAAGGTTTTAAGCAAAAGCGTGACATCAATTACATTTTAGAAAGATGACTCTGGAGACAAGTATGCAGTAGGATTTGAGGAAGGAGAGGCAAGAGGAAGATGGTATCTCAGGTAAGAAGTGAAAATATGGCAGTGGCTATAATCTTGGGACAGAATGAAAAAGATGTAGGAGACACTTCTGCATAAAACTAACAGGACTTGCTTTTTTCCTTCTGTCAATATATTGAACTGCTACAAAAGCACCAACCCCCATGTGAAGAACAGGAGGGAGGAAAAGGGAGGATTAAGAGTGTAATCGGCCTCTGCTGTAGGGTTATCTATTGACTTTTATGTGCTGACAATTTTGCACTTATTTTGTGGTATCTTACTTTACTTTCTTAATCTGAATCTTCTCCAGAACCATTCAGCAAACAGAACAGTTCTCTTATTGAAGTACAAAGATTTATGATTTTTTGAACAAGCTAATTATACTTTGAATCCTGATTCAGAGGAGTTTTTTAACTTAAATTGCTTAACCAATTTTATTTTATCCCTAATTATCATCTTGGTATTAAAAAAACCCACAACATTTTTACTTTAAGATTTCATTTATTCATTTGAGAGAGAAAGAAAGCACGAGCGGGGTGGGTGGAGAGGTAGAAGAGAAGCAGACTCCCTGCTTCAGAGGGGGCCAGATGTGGGGCTTGATCCTGGGACACTGGAATCATGACCTGAGCTGAAGGCAGATGATTAACTGAGCCACCCAGGTGTCCACACAGCCTTTTTAATTACAGGAAAAAGCAATTGGTATTACTTACGCTGTTCAACTGTTCTGACACTCTACTGGAAATATGTGTTATGTACATAATCATCTACAAATACATATATACACACACACACACATATATGTGTATATATTTATATATGATTTTATATAAAAGTATATACATACAAAATTATACCTGAATTTATCCTGAAGTAGCATGAGTTTTCAGATTTGGGAACTTAAGAGTTTTATTATGGTACATTTAACCTGACCTGCATATTTCTTGCCACTCTATCTTCTAGAAATTTCTTCCGAACCAAGAAGCAAAACTTAGAAAAGATGAGAATGGAAAAAGAAGAAAAACATTTTAGAGAACAATTTGAGGTATGTTCTCCTCTGAAGGTAAAAGTTATAAACAGAAATTCCTAGCTTTTAATATTACTAAAGATCCTACAAGTGTTGCACCTCTGCCTCTGGGATAGATAGGACCAAAACTAAACAGCTGATAACGTTTTTTTCCTGATGCATTCTTATATTATCATGCCTTTATACCTGCTATCCCCTCTGTCTGGAAAAACCAAGTTATTCTTAAGGCTCTGTTCAACTGTCACCCACTCTTCTTGGGAAAGTAATTAAGCACATTTTATCTATTAAACACATATCTGTTCTAACACTGGTCTGTTTATAACACAGCCTGTGTATGTGTGTGTATTCTGAGCTAAACTCAAGTACTGTCTGAGTAAAGATTTTGTCTCATTCAAGTTTGCTCCTACCTCCCGACATATCTGGACACATAGAGTTCAGTGAGTGACTGACGAGATAAACAAATGAAACAAGTGAATGAAGGAAGCAGTATCTGAAGCTTCTTGACTTCTGTCATTATGAATCCATGGAGTATTTCCTCAATTCCAAGGTTCAAACAGTCCTTCCTTATAATTTCATATACTGTCATCATGAGAATTAAGAAACATATTGAATAGCTCCCAGGTCCCAGATACTGGATTGAGAGAGAGAATGTGGACATCCTGCTCACAGAATTTCTCCACGTCACTACTACTCCCCATTACGAAATGGGTCAAGATTAGGCTTAAAAAGCTCTTCATTTCATAACTTCTTGTCTTTCAGGTTTTATTTCCTGCTATTCTTCACCTTGCACTTCAGGCTTTGGCAACAAACTCTTCAGTTCTGTCCCTTCTATGAACATCCACTTCAGTCCTGTCCTGCTACTCCCTTCCTCCAGGCATTTACTTGGTCTGCTCCAACTATCTGGTGATACTCTTACTACTTTTCCCCATCTGACTAGCTTTCATTCACTTATCAACACTCATCAAGGCATCTCCTCTCCTCCAGGAAGACTGACCCACACTTGCTCATTAAGGAAATTCCTCTTCCTCTATATTCCTCTACATCTGAGCTTATCACAAGCATTAACATTATGGCAATTATGTGTTCACCAATTAAACTATGAGCTCTTGGAGGACAGGGTTATCTTATCTTTATATCCATGTGCAGAGCAGAATAAAATTACCTTTGTAAATGTCCAAAAATGTTTTTGGACTGAACAAAAAAGAATATACACAAATTCTTCATAATCATTAACCCACTGAGCCACCCAGGCGGCCCCCCCATAATCATTAATAACTCTTGCTTTGGACCAAAGCTGATTAGAGCTGTTATATCTAGAAGCCATGATATGAAATTATTTACTGCAACTGTGATATTATTAATTGAGAAACATTAGTGTAACAATTACTTGCTGAATTGACCTTACATTCCATTTAGTGCTTTTCTCATTCTGTGACTGTCTCATATCTCATGTGTATGATTCCATTCTTCCTTATTACCTGTGGTGACTTTTCCTTATATATCCTTAGAAAAACTATGCCACATTAGTAATTTTATTCAGCTCAAATCACAAAAGTTTAGTGCCTCATTTGTGCTAGGCATTAAGAGTACAAGGTTGAATAAAACTGTCTTCCATTTTCATTTTAAGATAATAGGTTTATTAAATACTGTAATAGGAGTATATACAAAGTGTAGTTAAACAGAAAATTATACATTGCTGTTGTTTAAGTCTTCATGAGAAGTGGTTTAAGAGGAAAAAAGTGTTTTGGGCAGAGAAAACCACATGAGCATTGGCCGGTAAGTATAAAAGGTAGCTGGTATATTCAGGACCATCACATAGCTTGATGTGACTTCATAATGGGACAGAAATGGGAGCATGGGAAATGACCATATGCCAAAGAACCTAAATGTCAAGGTGAGAAATGTGGATCTTATCATGAAAGCAATGAAGAATCTTTAGAATTTGACAAAAAGCAAAATGCCTGATTAATTTTCATTTTAAGAAATCACTGTATTCATAATGAACAATGGCCTGGAAAAGGGTAAGAAATCAATCAGTGAGGAAGCTATCACTTTGTTAGACAAAAGAAAAATCTATGGATCAGATCCCGTTTGGTATAGAATGATGTATTTTATCATTCAAACTCCACACACTTCTGAGAGTGGAAGAAGGCATACCTAATCCTAATCCTAAGTATATGTAGAGACACTAAATATAAGCAGACTGTCCTGAGCAGAGGGAGATGTCTGGCCACCCTAATTTGGTTAAGTACACATCTGTAAATATAAGCTTTGTGTTGTGGAACTTTTTCTGAGTCAACAGATATCAGCCCATTAGAAGGTGGTATACCTAGAGCTGTATAGGCTGGCTAGTTTATCATACAGAAGAAAACCTCCTTTAAGGTCATAAATTGAATTTCTCATCAGTTTTTTTCACAAATGCCTGTCTCTGACGCCAGGAGAGTGGGAATTGCCCCCTATACCTACTACTTTATATATAAGCCCACCCAGAGAGGAAGAGTAGAAAGAGGGCCACTTAGGAATGCTAGGTATGTAAGGACATTATACACTCTAAAGCGCTATACACAAGGAGGTTTTTTTCTTTCCCTCTTTTTTAAACTTCCCCATTCCTGAGTGGGGTGGTATCCTTATTACTGGAACACTTAACATCCATGGAAATTAATTTATACCCATGTTATAAATATCTCATCCACTGGAATTCATTCTAGTACAGCTAGATAAGTATGAAAACACTTTGAAAATATGTGCCAAATTAAATGTAATATTCTAGCATTTTACTACTATTTTCCTATTCCTTCTGAGGTTATTTAATACTTAGTATTTTGAGTTTGAGGTTACTATCTTACAGCCTCCATTAATTTTGTTAGAATAAAAACTGCACACACAGTCTGATTAGTAATTTCTGCTTTCAGTATGACAAAGAGATTACTGTCATCAACACAGCAGTGGCATGTTCCAGTAATTCAAGGAATGGAATATTCGATTTGCCAATAACCCCTGGAGAAGAACTACAAGTCATTGATACCACTGAAGAAAATCTAGTGATTTGTCGCAATTCCAAAGGCAAATGTAAGCTGCTGGCTTATCACCCATAAAATCTCTGTTTAAAAGAAAACTATCAAAGCATTCTTGCAGCATTCTGGCTATAACGTTCAGATTAGTAATGGTGATTTTTGTTTCTACAGATGGATATGTACTGATGGAACATCTAGATTTCAAGTAAGTGGTTTGCTTTTATACTACAAATCATGAATTCTAAAAAACTTAATACACTGTTGTGCACATTAGTCTCAAAGAAAGACTACTGAATTTATTTTAATTTAGGAAGTTTTAAGGATTACTTTGGAAGAGACTTTATTCTTGTCTCCTGAGTACATTATGACTTCTCTACAGAGTAGAATGATCAAACTGGGTAAGAAATCTGACACTCACTACTCCACTGGCCTCTATTTTTCTGTCTTCTCAGGCATCAAGGCTGGTCACCTTAGGAATATCAAGCTCCAGTGGCAGGGGCTGCCCTAGTAAGGACTTGTCTGAGAGCTCAGACCTGCCTCACCTCAGGTTCAGTTGGCATGTCAAATGGGCTGGGGGACCTGTGGAAACGGAGAAGAGAAAAACAAACCCTCCACATTCAGATGTTGGTTTTACTCCTAAATGATTATCTTTCAATGTCTATGTCAGTCTCTGTTTCACTGCTGACTCAAGAGAGTATGAAACACTGTGTGTTAGCATTTGAGCATCTATTTAATGAGCCATAGCCCAAGTTGGAAATCACGCCTTATGGCACCTAGGCAGCTATGCAGATGGTTAGTTTGCTTCTAATATTAGCACATGAATGTTTATAATTTCCAGAAGATATTGTGCATTTAAATTGGGTGCAATTTACTTCTGAGAAGTAAATAGTGTAACCAAGGTCTTTAAAATACTCAGATTTAAGGTATAATCTTAAAATGTAATTATGGCTCAGTCTATAAGTATCCTTCTCCTTAATCAAAAATATCAACGCTGTTCAATATTGGCTCCTTTTGGAACAGCATGCTAAATAGTAATTTATTCCTAAACGAAGAGCCTAAATATATTTAACACAATTTAAATACTATACATAAAGCTGTCAATTTAAAACATCCTGTCGTCCAAAGTGAGAAAAATAATTCTATGCCTGAACACCTATGAAAAAATGAGACGGAGCTGTAAATAACTGCCTAGCCAGGGGAGACATTCTACGGGGCATACAGCTGTCTTAAAAAATGTTGGCATTTTCAACACAAAAACTGGACAATTTTGCTCCGTTGTTTTTGTTTGTTGGTTTAAGATTTGTATATTTTAGAGAGAGAGCACAAGTGGGTGAGGGAGAAAGATCTCCAACAGACTCCACGCTCAGCATGGAGCCTGACACAGAGCTCTATCTCACAACCCTGAGATCACAATCTGAGCTGAAACTGAGTCAGATGCTTAACCAAGGAGCCATTCAGGCACCCCCTTTGCTCTGTTCTTTGCCTTCAAGGGATGGAATTAGTCCCATGACCTCATTCTTTATACTGTGAGACTTCTAAAAAATTTTTCTTAAATTCAATTAACATACAGTGTATTAGTTTCAGAGGCAGAGTTCACTGATTCATCAGTTGCATATAACACTCAGTGCTCCTTACAGCACACCCCCTCCTTAATGCTATCATCCCACCCACTCCCCTCCAGCAAGCCTCAGTTTGTTTTCTGTAGTTAACAGTCTCTTAGGATTTGCTGTGAGACTATTTTTAAAGTTTCTAGGTACTTTTATCTTCTTTTCATGTTCCAAATGGTACTCACCAATAAAAGCCAAGCAGCAGAAATATTCATAGAGGAAAGGGGAATATGGCAGAATACAAGAACTCTAGGCTCGTTTCATCCCACGAATACATCAACCTAAATACCCCAGAAATCCATCTGAAGACCAGTGGACAAATTCCACAATTAAAGGTAGAGAAGAGGCCACATCAAAGAAGGTAGAAAGTATGGAAACACAGCTTGGGAGAGAAATGGATCATGGCCTCTGTGGTGGGAAGGGAGTCACAGTTGTCTGTTGTCTAAAAATGCAAGATGAATTCCCAGAGCAAGTGGCTTGGAATGGAAGTGGGGCCAAATTCCAGCAGAGTTTAAAGCCTGGAGTTTTAAAGGTTAGTGTGCTTGGCTCTGAGAGAGCATGGAGGACACTGGGGCTGCTCTTAGAGAAAGGGCGAGACAGCTCAGGAACAATGTGGAAACAGCCATGTGAAGAGCACCTGGGGCACACAGTAGGGAGGTTAGTTGCTTAGCTCTAAGCATGTCTCAGGAGAGCATTCAGGGCCAGACCCCTCCAGGAACAAAGGAACTGACAGGGCGATTTCCCTCCCCCACCCCTCAGCATAAGAGCCATACTCACTACCTAACTTGCTTACACCAAGTCCCCCCCACCTACCCAAGCTTGGAAGAACTACTTTTCCTAGTCTGCTCGCCTCAGTAGGGTGGCAAGCCTCACCCCCCAGAAGACCAGCCCAAATCCCTGGCAACACCCCATCTCCCAACCTGGGAGTTTTGTGAGACCTCAGTTCCAGTGGCAACAGTGACAGGTCTCATTTCTAGTTAAAAACACCACATTCAGCCCAGGGCCACAGCCCACAAGAGGCAAAGAGAACCTCTGCAGACAACTGGCCTGAAGATAAACCAGCCAGAGTTCTGGAGACACTCCCAGAAGCGCCAGGCCCGGGGAACAGGGGATACTACACTGCAGTACACTATAGAACTTCTTCCTAAAGCTATTACCCTCAAGAACAGGAGATGTAACTGACTTTCTTAATAAAGAAACAGGCATAGAGACTTAGACAAAATGATTAGAAGAATTTGTCCCAAATAAAAGGACAAGCCATGGTTGGAAATCTAAGCAGAAGAGATACAAGTAACATGCCTGCTAGAGAATTTAAAGCAAAAATCATCGGGATACAGGACTTGAGAAAAGAGTGGAGGACATCAGTGAGATCCTTAACACAGAGATAAGGAATAACACAGAAGGGATAAAGGACTCAATAAATGAAATGAGAAATAGGCTTGGTGGAATGAACAGCAGGCTGGAGGAAGCAGAGGAATGTATTAATGACCTAGAAGACAGAGTCAGGGATAGTAATCAAGCTGACTACAAGAAAAAATATACAAAACAAGAACAGACTTAGGGAACTTAGTGATTCCATCAAACATAGTAACAGTCATATTATAGGAGTCACAGAAGAAAGAGAGAAAAGGAGGTAGAGAATTTGATGAAATAGCTGAAAACTTCCTTAATCTGGGGAAGGAAATAGGCACAGAGAACCACCAACAAAAGCAGATCTATATCAAGACATAATGTAATTAAAACTCTTAAAAGCAGCAAGACAAAAGACTTACATACAATGGAAACCCATGAGGCTACCAGTGGATTTTTTTCACAGAAACTTTGAATATATCATGCCATTCTCTTCTGGCTTGCAAAGTGCTGAATGGGAAAAATCTGTAGCCAACAATACTCTAACCAGCAAGGCTATCATTCAGAATAGAGGAGAGAGTTTCTCAAACACTAAAGGAGTTCATGACCACTAAATCAGCCCTGCAAGAAATATTAAAGGGGACTCTTTGAGCAGAAAGACTAAAATGACAATATGAAGGTAGGAAACACAAAAGCAGTAAAAAGCGGTAAAAATTTCTGTGAAAAACTGGTCAAGAAATTCACAAAATAGAAGGATGTACAACAGGACAACAAATACCTAAAACATGGGGAGGAAAGGGGTAAAGAATAGGTTCAAACTTTAAATGACCATCAACTTAATGTAGACCCCCTATGCAAATATTACATACAAAACTAATGGTTACCACAAATCAAAAACAATAAATATACAAAAAAAGAAAAGAAATCCAAATATATCACTAAAGAAAACCAGCAAATTCTGAAAGACAAGGATCAGAGAAATCTTCAGAACCAATGGCAAAACAAGTAATAAAATGGCAATACATATCTATCAATAGTTATTTTGAATGTAAGTGGACTAAACAAAAGGCACAGGATGACAGAATGAATAAAAAAAAAACACCCAAGACCCAGGGTGCCTGGGCAACTCAGCCCATTAAGCTGCTCACTCTTGATTTCAACTTGGGTCATGATCTCAGGGTCCTGGGACTGAGCCATATGTGGGGCTCCTCACTCAGCAGGGTGTCCACTTCAGGATTCTCTCTCCCTCTCTCCCCCCATCCAAATAAATAAATCTTAAAAAAAAAAGACCCATCTATATATTGCCTATAACAATTCATTTTAGACTTAAAGACACCTGCAGATACAAAGTGAAGGATGGAGAAACATCATGCAAGTTGATGTCAAAAGAAAGCCAGGGCAGTCATGCTTCTATCAGACAAAATAGACTAAAAAAAAAAAAAAAACCTATAACAGGAGACAAAGAAGGACACCACAAAATCATAAAGGGGACAAACCAATGAGAAGATACAATAATTGTAAATATTTATGCACCCAACACAGAATCGCCCAAATACATAAAACAGTGAGTAACAAACATAAACTAACCAATACAATAACAGTAAGGGACTTTTAACACCCCACTGACATCAGTGGACAAATCAACAGAAAATCAAGGAGACAATGGCTTTAAAGGACACCACAATAAGACAACAGAAAGAAATAAAAGGCATTCAAATCAGTAAGGAAGAAGTAAAACTTTCACTATTTGCAGACGACACAGTGCCATATATAGAAAACCCAAAAGAGTCCACCAAAAAAACTGCTAGAACTGATAAATTCAATAAAGTCACAGGATACAAATTCAATGTACAGAAATATGTAGCATTTCTATACACCAGTAATGAAGCAGAATGAGAAATTAACAATCCCATTTACAATTGCACCAAAAATAAGATACCTAGGAAGAAATCTAACCAAAGAGGTGAAAGATCTGTACTCTGAAAACTATGAAACACTCATCAAAGAAACTGAAGACAACATAAAGAAATGGAAAGACATCCCATGCTCATGGATTGGAGAAACAAATAATGTTGAAATGTCTATACTAACCAAATGTCTATACTACCCAAAATACTACACATTTAATACAAACCCTATCAAAATACCAACAGCATTTTCACAGAACTAAAACAATCCTAAAATTTGTATGGAACCACAAAAGATCCCAATTAGCCAAAGCAATCTTGAAAAAGCAAAGCAAAGCTGGAGACGTCACAATTCCATACTTCAAATTATATTACAAAGCTGTAGTATAACAAAACAGTAACAAAAACTGAAACCAAAACAGATACATAAATAGACAATGCAAAAGACTCCAGCAAAAGTTTGCTAGTACTGCTACATGAATTCAGAAAGTCACAGGATATAAAATCTATACACAGAGGCCAGTTGTATTTCTATACACTACCAATGATGCAAAAAAAGAGAAATCCAAGGAATCCATCCTATTTAACAACTGCACCAAAAAACCAAAGAGGTAAAGGAACTCTGAAAACTATA